AAATATTTATGTACTATGCTTGTAGATCTAGGCTTTTACGCACTTTTATCCATGATTGGGAGAGTTTGAGTGGATAGATTCCATAAAGTTGGCAACTTTATGGATCATTGTGGTCCCTTTGTAGTTATATGTTCTAGATCTGAAGTTTGGTAAAGTTTTGATCCCATGCATGAGGTTTTGGTCTTATTTTCACCATTTTGACATAGCTTGAGCTCAATGCATGCATTGGAAATGCATTTCTATAAAGCAACAATTTTTATGATGCATTGGGTGTAAGAAGGTCTTCTGGAAAATATGAATGAATAACTTGAAGGATTAAGAGCTTAATGCATTAAGCTGTCCTAAACAGTTTCCACGATGTGGTAGGTTGGTCACCATGATGTGGCATCGACCAGTCTTTATGATTGTTTTGTCGTGAGGTTGCCATGACATAGCCAATGGGTGGACACAATGTGGGGCTTAGCTGGGGTTAACTTTGACCATTGATGTTGGTCGTTGACCTTGAACGTTGACTTTGACCGTTGACTTTTTCACCATTGTTGACTTTTGGTCAACTTAAAGGTTTTAGAGTGTAGACTAAGAGGATACTTGTAATGCCTGGTTCCTGGTATGCATTTAAACTTAATTATTTTATTCATTTTGGAAGGGCTACTCAACGAGTTGGTGGCCCTAACTCGTCGAGTAGAAGGCAGTGTATGCGCAGGGTTTTAGTGAACTACTCGACAAGTCGAAGTCCTGACTCGACGAGTAGGACAATCTGGATGAAACCCTAATCTTTAGGGCTTGCACTCTATTAAAGCATCATATCTGGCCTCCACCCCAACCTCCATCACCTCCAAACCCTAATCTCCAAACCCTAATCAACCTTGAGTGATTTTGAGCTATTTCCTTGCCATTTTTGTGATTTAAAGTTACAAGAAGGAAGTAAAGACTTGGAGTTGCAGAAGGAAGGTTGAAGATCCAGAGATAAGGACTCATTTCTGTATTGATAAAGGTATAAAGCTTATACCTTGGCTTCTATTCACGTAGATCTTCATTTGAGCTTGTATATTGTCACTTTTGGGCCATTTCCAAGGTTATTCCGAGATTTGAACTCTTTGGGATGAAAGGACTTCGGATCTGGGCACTGTTGAGCTTTAGAAGCTCAAATTTGCCACCATTATTCAGCGATGGCCCTATTCCATGACTTAGACCTCCATTTTAGCTTGTAATGGGTGTTTTAGCTTCATAGCACCATGCATGCACGTAAAGTTAGCAACTTTACGTGTAATGCTAGTCTAAGGAGTCCATATCTAGGAGTTGGAAGAATTGGAATGGATTAGAATCGACTGAATGGAATTGTCATATGGAGGACTCGACGAGTTGTTCTTGGACTCGGCAAGTCGGGTTGCGAACCCCTAACCCTTTTCTGGTTTTGAGTGAAACCATTGAGTCTAGGAGATGACTCAGTGAGTTGGGCAAGATTAGGACTCGGAAGCTGAAGAACTCGACGAGTCTAAGGAGGGACTCGACAAGTTAAAGTCATTATGTACCGATTATATGACAGGAAGAACTCGACGAGTCTGGGAAGGGACTCGACGAGTTGACTCGGTTGACCACGAGTCTGAGTAGTACATGAACTCGCCGAGTTGGGAGATAACTCGACGAGTTGGGGTTGACTGGGAGTTGACCTTGACTTTCACTTTGACCTGGATGTTGACTTTGACCAAGGGTAAAATGGTCATTTTACCCTGAGAAGGATTATCAGATTTCTGATGAAGTGTATTATGTAGTTGATAGTCGGGGAGTCGCCGAAGCAGTAGTCAGAGATTCTTCACTCGAGTTTCAGTAGTCAGCCTTACGAGGTGAGTTTTATCCTGTAGGAATGGGTCTACGGCCACAATGCCGGCCCGTTTAGATGTTAGTAGTTCCGGACTACGATCCGATGTCGGGGCGGTCCCGAGAAGCATTTATGTATGTTTAATGAATTTTTAATTCTTGCATGTTATGTGTTATGTGTTCCGGGCTTCGGTCCGATGCCAGGTCGAGCCCGATGTATTTTAGTTTATATGTTATTTGTTATGTGTTCCGGGCTTCGGTCTGATGCCGGGGCAAGCCCGATGAATGTATATATGCATAAGTTATGTGTTATGATATATGATATGTTGTATGAATGTCGGGGCAAGCCCGATGCCGGACACAGTCTGATGCCGGGCGGGGCCCGATGCCGGGTTCGTCCTGATGTAGCTGGGCAGAGTCCCAAATTTATGTATATGTTATGTGTATGGTATGTGGTAGTTTGGGGAGACTCACCAAGCTTCGTGCTTACAATTTTCCGTTTTGGTTTCAGGTACTTCCACTAGCAAGGGGAAGGACTGGGATGATCGCATGGCACACACCACAGTTTCAGCCTGGGATTGTTTAGACGTTGATATTTTCTCATATGATTTGATACTGTGTTCGACATAATGTTTTGAGATACATGATGCTTGATTTTCTTTATCATGATGGATGATTTATGGTTTATTTAATGATTTTAAAACGAAATTTTTGATCTGTATTTTTGGGATGTTTCAATACTTCTATACTGTTGTTTATGTGTCTAGCGATTACTTGCGAGGTGAGTCTTCTCACTATATTACCTGTGTCATAGTGTGTGTATGCTGACCAATTGGATCTTATTTATTGATTGTTGTTCTATGTGTTACCGAGTTGCCGATAACTCTAGGGCGTGCTATTAGCCCACTAGGACTACTGATAGTCCCCATGGTTGCTGATAACACACAGTGTGCTGTTAGCCCATTGAGACTGCTGATAGTCTCCAGGGTTGCTGATAACCCATAGTTGTTTATTTTATGTTGTGATTGTGAAACCCTTGTCGCGTATAATTTAAGCAAATAAAATTTAAGTACTCGAATGCACTAAAGGATAGCACAGGGAAACATGGTCGAATCCTCAGTGATACAGCTTATGGTTAATGCCTCTTTGCATAAGGAACATACTAGTCATAAATAGAATATATAAAATGGGGGGTTTTGATTATTAACTAAACTAAAAATAGCAGTGAAATAAACTAAATGAAATCGGTAATAAAAACGAATTTAGTTCTATTGCGACTTTCCTGAGCATGCAATCAACCCATATCTGATTATTCAGAATGTGTTCTATCTATGAGCATGCAATCAACCCATATCTGATTATTCAGAATGTGTTCTATCTAAGCCAGTACTGAGAACAACTAATAAGCTCTAGTACATTCTTTTTTACCTAAGTAGTTTATCAAACAAGCTCTTAAATTAACCCTAACTTTTTACTGACGTATTAAAAAATCTCTTAATTAAATTCAAAAAACTTGTATTAAGATCTGTGTAAAATTCCCAACAATATCCAATACTTCTCACAAGCTCGAAAGCATAAAGATATGAAATTTCAGTTTATAATAAAGTCAAATCCAAACGTAGAACCGATTTATTACTTGTTACTGTTGGATTAGGTGTTTATGTCAATAACTGAATTAGTATAATATTGAATTATTAGCAAAGTCCTTTTGGGTTGCCCTCAAACCTAGTAATTGAATATGATGGCTTTTAGAGAGAGAGAGAGAAAGAGACAAATTTATTAATTTATTATATGATTAATAAATAGCAATAAATGAATTTATTAATATGTTATGAAAATAATATATTAATTAGAAATAGTAATATTTAATGAAGAATTAATAAGAAATTAATTAGAATTAATTGGATTAATTAAAAGCCCAAGGACCTAAGTTGTATATGTTCAATAGTTGAACAAGAGATGGATTCTAGAATGATCCTAGGGAGTGACAATTTCTAATGCTTCTTGAAGGATCTAGAATATCTATTAAAGATAATTAAAGAATCAGATAATTACCTGATTAAAGATATTGATACTTTAATCAAGTAAGGCTTATATGAGATTCTTCTAACAACAATATAAAGGGGACCTTGGAATCTAATTTTCGGCCACTATCTTCTAGAGCACCTAGACTGAAATTTTCACATCTCCTATCCTCTCTTAAAAGTTTCTTGTTGCTAGTGTTGGGTGTGAACTATCAGAGACAAGACATTTGTGTTTCTAGCTTCCAAGTTATTGAAGAAAGGATTCTTGATTGCTTACAATAGCAATAAAAAGGTATTTTGATTCTTCTACAATTTTCAAAATTACCTAGGGTTAGAGTATTCTTGTTGTTTAATAGAATGTTACATCAATAGTGTTATGAATTAGATCTTTAGGTTTGATATACCCTTAAGTGTTAAGGATTTATCCGCATTAATACATGTAAAATCCATTAGTGGTATCAAAGCGTATGATTGTCTAAGAATTGAATGTACATAGTTTGAACTTGAACAAGGAATATAAACATAATTGTCATTCTGTTTTGGCACCACGACGTGGTGGTCTGCGAATTCGTGTTATTTTTCGTTCGACCACGACATGGTAATTGTTTACCATGACGTGGTGGACGATCAGATTGTTAAAATTGGATTTTGCTTTAATTCATAAATTATTGTTAATTAATGGAGCACGTGTGGTTAACCGGTACATTAAAATGAGATGATAATTAACATCGAGATTGCCAAGCATATTTATATGGTTATTCACATTTAGCTTGTGATCATTGGTATCCCAGTCACAAATAGTAGAGCATAATCGGATATTAAACATGCCATTGATAGATTCAATTAATCTCAAAAGATCTTGGAATGTCATAGTTTGAAATTGATGAATTGCTTTAACATAGCTTCATAAATTTGCAATAAGATTACGACCTCCCTCTTCTTAGTTGTGAATTATTATTTTGGATCTTTGCCTTAATCATTTATTATGGGTTAAAATATTAAGGATAATTGCTATCTAACTAAAACTATTCTTTTTCTTTATAGATGTCTACTCCTATTGATACTTCTGCTCCAAGGTTTTCAGATTTTCTTGTGAATACTGGTGTTCAATTTTAAAAAGACAGGGTGAAAATCCTGAGTCCATGTGATCATAAAGGAATGAATGGACCTACTATTGTATCTAGTAGTGGAGGAACAATTCAACTTGAAAGTGGTCTTGTTATTGAATATGATTGGTATGAATTTTGTATATTTCTATTTAGCAATTTTCTTTAGTTCCCAATAAGTTAATTTTGGGACCCACATTCAGTAATTAGAATGTGAGTATGACAGACCAGTTTGTACTGTGTTTGACTTGCCTTAGACTCAGACTCAGATTGAGACTGAAACTGATGTCAATACGACATTAGTTAACTCTCGATCCCTTGTCTATGTAAATTATGAAAATGCCCTTCTCATCCTCATCCTCATACTAATTCTATGTTTTGTATTTGGGCAGCCAGGTTGGTACTTTCTTTAGGAGCTGAACCTAAACTTGATGTCATACCAGGTGCTGTTATGTTTGCATTTCCATTTTCGACCCTAAATGATGCTTGTGTAAGCTTTTCAACACATCAAATTAGATTCTGTTTCTTTTTTACTTAATGGACTTAACAGATATAAGACTTAATTGTATAAGATATATATGATATGAGTGTTTGCTTTGGACTTAATACAAATCAAACAACTTAGTGGATAAAGTAAAGGAAACGAGGCTTTCCCCATTAAGGTTGTGTTTGGCAAGCCAAAAAGTAGCGTATAAGTTAGTTTTTTAAAAATATTCTTAGACTAGCTTTTCATGAGCTTTTTTAAAAATTTGCAAACATACCCCTTAGTTAATAATAGAAAACTTATTCTTTTAAATAACTTTTTATGACATTTTATATTTGTCACGTACCTTATCAACTAGTTTTACCAAACGTCATTTTTTGACGGTTAGCTTTTCAGCTATCAACTAGCTTTTCATATAACAACTAGTTTTTTAGCTATCAACTATTTTTTATATAACAGCTAGCTTTTCAGCTATCTGCTAGCATTTCATATAACTGCTAGCTTTTCAGCTCTCAACTACTTTTTATATAACAACTAGCTTTTCAGCTCTCAACTACTTTTTATATAACAAGTAGCTTTTCACTATCAGCTAGTTTTTTATATACCAACTAGCTTTTCAGCTATCAACTAGCTTTTCTTATAACAACTAGTTTTTGAGCTATCAGCTAGCTTTTCATATAAGAGTTAGCTTTTCAGCTATCAATTAAGTTTTCATATATTAGCTAGCTTTTTAGCTATCAATTAACTTTTCATATATCAACTAGCTTTTTAGCTATCATGTAGCTTTTCAGCTAATAGCCCAAACATAGAATATGTCCTAACTTCTAACAAATGATTTAAATGGAAGAAATAGCAATGTAATTTCATTGATATGTCTGTTATATTTATAATATCCTACTCTCATATCTTGATGCAGAAAGTAAATGAGAAATTAACAAAATTACAGCGTGAGAATTTCGGTAAGAAAAATACGATACGTGTGGTGGTGGTTGGACTTGGTTACTCTGTTGTTGAATTGGCGGCAAAAGTATCAGAAAGACTAGTGGGTAAAGGAGTTGTGCAAGAAATCATTGTTGACTCATCAATTTTACTAAATGATCCTTCTGGAAATAAGGAAGCTGCTTTGAAAGTAAGAGACTCTATCTTCATAATCAACTCAAATTGGCTACTAAATACATTACCCTTGTGACTTTTTTCATGATCTTTAAGTACTAATAGACAAATGTTCTATACAAAATTCGACAATTTGACAAAAAAACTATGTGGAAATTTTGAAATTGACTACAAACTTTGCCTATTTGTTATTCCAAAATTCTTATTAATTTGTGTATAGAGCTAATTTTTTTTTTGTCAAATTGGCATAAGTTATACGGTTTAATGCAAGTAATAGCAATATACGTTCATTGATTTGTTTATTATGATATCCTGTTTTTTTTTTATTCCTATTTGTTAGGGAAACAAAAAGAGATTTTCCCCATTAAGTCCAAACTTTTTACAAATTTACTCTAGTTTATTTGTTTTATCTTCTATTTTCACATTTGTGCCTTTATTTTTCAAATATCTTTTAAACGTCATTTATCCAGACAACACTTCATGAGAAAAATAAAACAAAAAGTTATGACTTTCTCGAGACAACACTTCATGAGGAAAAAACCAAAAAGTTATGTCTATCTCGAGTAATTTTTGTATGAACAATAAACGAGAGATTAAATGACCATTTTACCCTTCTCGGGTTCTCAACACGTGGAAAGCTGAACTTCTACTTGGTTATTTTGTCCGGTGTATAGGAAAATCTTGTGATTTCGGAAGCTCTATTGAAAAGTCAGAAGCTGTAGAAAAAGTTAATGATTCTGAAAAAGTAATGGTTGAGGTGCAAGCTAATGAAAAGGGTGCAAAAAGTCAAGTTTTAGAAGCTGATTTGGTTCTATCGAGTGTTGGGAATAAACCTTTACTTCCTCAATTGGAACCAAATGGATGGCCTTTTGAGCTTCCTGTTACGGGTAGAGGACAAGCAAAAACAGATGAAACCCTTGAAGTGAATGGGCATCCGCGTATTTTTTTTGTTGGTGATTCTTCTGCTTTGAGAGACTCAAAGGGAAAAGTGCTTCCATCTACTGCACAGGTACTTTATAAGGCCCTGATTGTGATTGTGGAGACCGAAGTCAATGGGATAAACAAATTGGCAATATTTTTTTCCATTTAGTAAGGTGGGATTGTGAATGTGACTAAGAATAATGTTAGTAGGACAAATGTTGCAATTTTTTGTCCCAACCAAAAAGGGGGGTACGGGCAGATGCCAATAGGACAAAAATTGCATTTTTTGTCCCATCCAAAAAGGTGGGACATGGACAGATGTCAACAAGATAATAATTACATCTTTTATCCAATCTCAAAAAGTTGGATATGGATAAGAATTGCAATTATTTGTCCTATCCAAAAAGGTGGGACAGCTACATGGAAAGTTGTCAAATATGATAATAACTGCATTTTTTGTCCTATCTTAAAATGTGGGACATGGAAAGATGTCAACAGGATAAAGACTGTAAACGTTTGTCCCATCCAAAAAGGTGGGACAAGGACAGATGTGAACAGGATAAAAACTGCATTTTTTATATCATCCCAAAAGGTGGGACATGGATAAAAATTGCAACCTTTTGTCTTATCCAAAAAGGTGGGACATGGACATGGAAAGATGTGTAATAGGATATAAACTGCATTTTTTGTCCCATCCAAAAAGATGGGACATGGATATGGAAAGATGTGTAATAGGATATAAACCGCATTTTTTGTCCCATCGAAAAAGGTGGGACATGGACAGAAATTGCAATTTTTGCACCATCCAAAAAAGTAGGACACGGACAAATGTCATCGGGATAATAACTGCAATTTTTTGTCCCATCTCAAAAAGTGGGACATGGGTAGAAAATGTAATTTTCTTTCTTAATCAAAAAGTGGGAGAGGACAGATATCAACCGAATAAAAACTACATTTTTGTCCCATCCAAAAAAGTGAGACATGGATAGATGTCAACATGATAAAAAATGCAATTTTTTGTCCTATCCAAAAAGGTGGGACAGGGATATGGACATGGAAAGATGTGTAACAGGATAAAAACTGCATTTTTTTCCCAATCCGAAAAGGTGATTGAGACTGGGACCGGGATTGAGAGTCTGGCATTGACCACTGCAGCATGTGTTGTTTTACTGATAATTTAATATGCCATGTCATGTGTTTTCAGGTTGCATTTAAGCAGGCAGATTTTGCTGGTTGGAACATTTGGGCTGCTATCAACAATCGTCCTCTTTTGCCATTTAGGTTCCATACCAAAATTTAAATTCTACTTCCTTTTCCCAATAAAATTCCAATATCATAATTTGAAAAAAATGTTTGGTTTATATATAAAATACCCTTTAAAATAAAGACAACTATTCACTCAATGTCAATCAATCCATTTACTTGTATTGTGTACAGATTTCAGAATTTGGGTGAGATGGTGGTCTTAGGGAGAAACAATGCAACAAGTACACCAAGTTTCATCGAGGGTATAACATTGAAGGGTCCAATTGGTCATACCGGTAATTAATCAGTGTTTACTTTTTGTGATATTACCATTTTGCCCTTAAACCTCACATGTTGATTTATGATAAAATTTGCAGCTAGGAAACTAGCCTATTTGATCAGGTTACCTACCGATGAACATCATGTTAAAGTTGGAATCAGTTGGTTGGCAAAATCTGATGTTGACTCCATTGCAACTGTGCAAAGTAATATCACCAAAGTCCTTTCGGGTTCTTAAAACTCTTGATCTTTTCTGTAAATATATTTATATTAACTTATTTTATATATACATTTCATTTGTGCTTTTAGTCCATGAGAAAATAAGAAGACTTTATTGCATTTTTTTATGAATAGTTGTTTTCAAATTAAATTTATATCATGCAATATATTGCAATTGAAATATGTATACACACATGCGTATAATATACACATGACATGAAAGGACAGAACATCATGGCCTTGTATTATGTTTAGTGTGCATTGGACATAGATTGGAGCATTTGTTAATGACAAAAAATTGTTATGTTAATAGACACGGATGTTAGAAATGCTCTAGCATAAGTCCTCCATGAAATATAGAACGTTCAAGAAATATTTTTCCAAAATTAAAAAAATGACATTGTGCTTGATATGATTGCACTATTGGGTAATGATTCGTAAACATTTAAGACGAATGAAACATTTTTGTTTTTTATGACATAAACAAACTTGGGTTTTTTTTATTAACTCTTTAGCTTGAGGAAATAAGTTGAAATGAAATCAAGTGGATTTCTAAAAGAGTGAACATTGTTTAATATACTTGTTAATTTTAGTGTCATCTAACATTAGATGCAATTGGAATAAATACGAGTGTCAATGAGTATTTAAACTATGATTTAATATAAGTTAAGTGGAGTGCATACTTGTACATAAGACGAGTTCGATCTTGGACATGACGAAATGTGGGGATCAAGGGGTGTGTTTGCTGGCGAGGTCCAAGGGGGCAGAGCCCAAAGAGCAAAGCCCCAAAATCTCTACAGATTTTCAGAGTTGGAGTTTAGTGGAAAAACATGATCGGAAGTAGGTCTACATAGTGCAAACTATTGATTTGCTTGCCAACTTACTTAGGGGTTGTTTCGTATGATATGAATTTTCAAGAGGTCTGAATTTTTAAGATCTCAATGTTTAACATGATGTTTGGTTGGTAACTTTTAAATTACTGTGTTGAATTATAAAAAGGACCATTTTACCCTTATATGTTATTTTTTCTTGAATTCAATGTTTATGTTTGTAAAATAATGAAACCAAATAATCTTACAAAAAGAAGCCTAACCAAAACAAGAATCACTATCAATATCATTACTCGTGCCATTATAATCACCACTAAATGAATGAATACCCAAAACACTATCTACCACTGCCAAATCAAATTTTGATTTTTAATGTTACAATCATACCATAACTGCCAACATCAAATTAAAAAGAAAATACAATAACTATCGACACAAAAGCATCAACGAACTTTGACAGCTTCAGAAAAAACATCAAATATTCTATGGAAAATGCTATACAAAATTCAGTCAACTCCATTGATAGAGATACATCTTTTGTCCCTACATCCTTTTTCTTGGACTATTGTAACAGATGAACCATGGCTCGAACTACTCAATAATATCTCTTATAAAAATATAATCAATATTGTTTAAACTTCTTCAAATAAGATGTGTATTAGTATGTGTTTGTTACTAACGAGTTATATTGAACAGCTTAAAACATCATCAAATTAATCTGAAATCCCTTAAAAATAAACATAAACTCAACTACAAATCATACCAGATGCTCTAGGAATTGAAATCAACATAAATTGTTAAGCTCTCTATATCCGAAAAAACATATTTCAAGTGTCAATTACATTTTTTCCATAAGAACTACTAATTTAATCAACCGGAAAACATAAAGGATCGGAAATTAACAATCGAAAGTAGAAGCAAAACATTTCAGGAAAAAAATCTCTGAATCTTATTATCAAAATTTAGGAAAAAAGGAAGTAACTCGGAACCAGAAAACTGACTATTTTGACGAAGTGAGGTGGCATCGCTGGAGGGGTTGTCGGCAGCAAAATCCTTGGTGGAGGGAGAAGTGCGTGCTGATCACGGATTGAAGAAAAGGAGCACTGGAATTTTAGGGCACAAAGGGAAAGACACATAATTTTTTTAATTCATACATGGGTCTACATTTGAAAGTTTAAGAGGCATTTAGAAAATTAAGAGGTAAAAAATAAGATGCTAACAAACAGTCTTAATCTAAATTTTTAAGAGCTTGCCTCTTAATTTTTCAATTAAGAGGCAAACAAACAACCCTTTAGACTTGGAATCCAGTGGAAAAACTTGTTCGAAAGTGGGTTTGCACAGCGTAGACAGTTGATCCGCAAACTTGGGGTCTGCTGAGTGCTAGTCTACCGAGTGTCTCCGCAAACTTGGAGTTCGGTGATTTGCGGTTCTATGGACAGTTGGGAATAAGCCTTAACTTCCCTCACGATATCACGATATCAGAACAACCTTTGCTTCTTTGCGGTATCAGTATGCTAACATCGTCTTGAAAGTGTTAGGAAGAGTGTCCAAGGTCATTAATTATTGGTAATATTTCTAATAATAACAAGGTTCATTTGGGTTGCCCTCAAGACCCAAATTAAGTAGAATAAATAAAGCAGAAATTGGTTTATTAATTATTATCATTATACACATATATTAAAAACCCTCGTGGATGTGAATAGTAAAATTGACCATGTTCATACTTTCAACACAATAATGCGTACATATTGAAATTTCACACAATACTTTCATTAATAATTAATTAGGAACTAATTAGATATATATTTTGGGAATTAATTAATTAAAGAGTTGGATATTGATTAATCAATAGTTGGTTGATCATAGTTGGTTGATAAGGAATATTCCATAACCCTTAAAGGATCTAGGGTTGTACAAAAACTCTTTATCATCTTATATGGGAGGAGGAGTGAATTTCATTTTTGGCTCCTTGTCCCACATGGGATGAAGAACAAAACCTAGGAAGGGATCCAAGGCTATAAATATGGCCTTAGGGATCATATACTTCCTTGCTCTTTGGCTTGATTTTTTGCCACCCTTATTCCTCTCTTTGTATAAGGACGATTTCAAGCCCTTTTAGGGTTTGTGAAATTGACACTTTTCCTAGTTATTTTTTATTCCACTCTTTGGATTCGTTAGGCATGATACCATTAGAGTGATTCTGGTTTGGGTCCTCTCATCCAAGAAACTTCAAGGAGGACAAGATCTCATGTAACACCAGGTTTCTGGTATGTATTTTATTTAAGAATTGGATGTATTTTCTCTTGGACTTGACGAGTTGATGGCCCAACTCGTCTAGTAGAGACGGGATCCGCGGGAAGTTTAAGTGACCTACTCGACGAGTCGGAGACTGACTTGGCGAGTAGGCGCTGTTTGGACAAAACCCTAAATCTGAGGGATTGCACCCTATTTAAACGTCTTAATGCAGCCTCCATCGTCCCTTTATGCTCCCAGAACACCTCATACTGAAACCCTAATTGTTTTGTGAGATCTAAGGCCATTTTTGGTGATTTTGGTGGTTTGTGATCACAAGGAAGAAAGAAAAGCTTGAGGAGCCAAGAGGAAACCAAAAGATTTCGAGTTTGTGCAGCATCTACATTGCCTTAGAGGTATAAAGCTTATACCTTGTTCATTCATGTTCTAGATCCCTTTTTGGACTGAATTAGGGCTTTTAGGAACCACTTTTGGTGACCAATCATGAGTACAAGCATGGTTGGGGGTTAAAACTCCAGATCCAGGGTCCTTAGGGGACTACATGGAGTAAAGTGGCCAACTTTGTAGCCATAAAGAGCCACATGCACCTTTAGACCTCATTTTTGGGTCCATTAAGCTTATACTCCCATGCATGCACGTAAAGTTCGTAACTTTACGTGCTAGATCGATCTTAGAAGCCCAGATCTATCTTTTGGATAAGTTTTGTACATCAGAAATCGAGAAATAAGACTTGGACAACATCGACTCGGCGAGTCGTTCTTGGAACTCGGCGAGTCCAGGGCTTGAGTCCCCAGGCTGTTGAGGTTCAAAGGGACCCAGTTGAGTGTTAGAAGGGTCTTATAGGGGTCCAGGGGAGTGACTCAACATATTAGACTTAACCATGGATCTGGGAATCATAGGACTCGACGAGTGTATGAATAGACTAGACGAGTCCAAGGCAATCTCCCAACTTTTGAAGATGAACTCGACGAGTTGTTCATACAAATCGGCGAGTCGCGGACTGGACATGTTCATAGGATGAAGGAGAACTCGACGAGTTGTTCATACAACTCGGCGTGTCAGATGAAGGTTCATTCGATGATATTATAGAAGGGAACTTGTCGAGTCTTTGCTAAACTCGACGAGTAGAGTCGGGAGGGGGCCAGATGAAAGGAAAGGGACTCGACGAGTTGGCGGCCCAACTCGGCGAGTCAGGTCAACTGGAAGTTGACTTTGACCAAGGCTTTGACCTTGACCAGGGGTAAATTAGTCACTTTACCCAAAGATTGGTTAGCAGTGTTTGACTAAGTGTCTTTATGGGAATTTCAGCTCGGGAGTTACCGGAGCAGCAGTCAGACATTTCCCGATCAGCATTTCAGTAGTCAGCCTTACGAAGTGAGTTACCTTCTAGTAGGGGTGGGTCTGCAGCACCAATGTCGGCCCACCAGTAGATGATTATGGTTGAGATGATTATATTTGTGATAATTATCTGGTTGATATGATCATGCTGAAATATGTGCTAGTAGTAGTAGGGCGCACTAGTCCCTAGTTACCGGTTGAAAGATACCGAAGACGGTTACCGGTTAAAAGATACCAAAGGGGTGGACAGAACCCACGCATGCATAGTAGTATGTTTATGATATGTTATTGTATGAGAGCCCTGGTTTGAGGGATTCAGACACACCCTCGGGGGGGGGGGGGGGGTTGTCTGGACTCAAACCGAGGGATTAGAAATTTTTTTTACAAAGAAAACGGTTTTCTATAATTTAAGTCAAGGAATTTGAGAAAGAACAAGGTGTGTGATGCGTGCAACCGGCCGAGCGCAAGTATGTTTTCCCCAAGATACCTATACTTGTTATGTTATGTCATGTGATATATGAATCTGAAAACTGCATGCTAGACTAGGGCTAAGGATCTAGGAGGATGCCTTGTATGCCTGATATATGATTCTGAAAAC